TATGCACTTAGTTAAAAAAATTTGATTCATAAAAAATGCTAGTCTTGAAATGGTAGATGATAATACCAATTTTATATTTTCACTAATTCTTTGCTACATCATAATAAGTTTTATCATAAAATTATATTTTGTATAATTGTTTTCCTTTAAAAATTTTATTTTGGACAATACTATATTTATCTTTCACAAATTTGATTTTATAACATAATTAATTTTATCACATCATAACAAATAAATAGATGAATTGCTTTTTAAAAATAAAAAAATATAAATACTCAACTAATGTCACGAAGTAATGAATTCTTTATTTGTTTAACGTAAAATTTTTCCAAAATTTGAAATCATTTTTAAATATCTATTTTAAAATAAAAAGAAAGGTCAATTCATCATTAATAAAATTTGCCACATAAGCAACCAATAAAGACTTGCCATCTCACCTTAATATAGTCCACATAAGTTTGACACTTGGTGACTTTCTAGCAAACGGAGTCTCAAATATTATATTAAAGAATTATATTTTTTATAACTAAAAAGAAATTTTTATACAATCCTTTTTTAATTATGAAACATTATAAAAGCTTAAGTGAGATTGTAACAAAAAACACCATAGCTTGGATGGTTAGGAACTCAACTAAATGACCAAGGGATCCTTGTTTCAAACCCCATGGTGGTATGTTTTTGGAAAAAAATGCAAAAAAAGAACTGGTCTAAACCGATCGGTTTGTCTAAAAGGGTGACACATCAGCTCGCCATGTCGCGCTTTATAGTTTTGCCAAATGTCGCCACATCAGCTCACCACATGTCGTGCTTTAGCTCTGCCAAATGTCACGTTCTTATAGCTCCGACTCTGCTTTATATATATAAAGGATATATAAGAATAATTTTAATATTAAAACATTACAGAGTATTTATTTTAAAACATTAAAATAAAATTGTATCCATCAAGTGTCATAATCGAATTGAAAACGGACGTTAGATGAACCATTTACTCTATACGGAGTAGAATAAATTGAATAAAATCTAGTTTCAGTCAAATATCATACGGAGTAAATTGTACTGGCATGGTATTGTGAATAACAAAATTCCACAAAATTTATTAATTTGTGATTTGTAAATTTAAATGTATGGTTTTTTATTATTTGAGATTGTTTTTGTGGGATTTGAAAATATTAAGTTTGTAAGTTTTTTAAATTTTTATGTTAGTGACTCTAGGGATGCGCTATAAAAAATTCAAAGGGAAGAAGTTCTTAACAGTAGATATCCAAATTTAAGGGAAAATGCATACTCCCTCCGTCCTAAATTTTTTTTCAGTTTTGACTTTTGGAAAGGGAAGATAAGACGTTTGACCAAGACGAAACGACGACAATTGCAACAAGTTGGGCTCGGGAAATGTCAAAATGGGTAGAGCGTAGAAGGTAGTTAAAGTATGTTTGGTTAGATTTAGGAAAAGTAAGGGCAATTATGTCTATTTAGGCAAAATTGAAATATTTTATGAGACATGTAAGATACGAAAATTGAAAAGTTTTACGAGACGGAGAGTTTTTCTTTGATTTTCTTTGGTAGAACTAAGGTTCACATTATTTTTACCTTCTCACATAAAAAAACATTTTTATATTTTTTTCGTTTTTGTTTTTAAAAAATACATATCAAAGTAGTGAGTATTTGCTTACTGTCTTCATATAAAAATCCACCTAAAATGGTGTAGACCTTAAGTCCACCATATCATTTACTTTTTTCTCTAATTTCTCCATACTTTTTTTTTAAATAGCTCCATACTTTATTTGTGGTATACTTGTATCTAATTGTATTTATTTCTTGAATAAAATTATATGCTTAAAATTCAGAACTAGAGCCTATTTTATTCGTCAAATTTGATTGGATCTAATCCAATTGTATTAAGATGTGATCTGATGAGGTCAATCTGATCTTATCTGATTAACTATATTTAAAATTAGTTTTGATCTGGCCACAACTAATCGCTCTATACTTAAGATTTAAGTTCGAATCACCCTAAAATAGTGTGGAGTGTGGACCTTAGGGCTTAGGTTCACCATGGTGGTTGCCATTCAAATCAATTTTACAATTTCTATTTTTGAATGTGTAACAGTCAAATTTACACTTCTCATATTTCTCTTATAGGAAAATATTCCAATAAATGAATTGATAGTTTTTTTTTTTGTGAAATTGATTTGAAATGGGAGAGATTACTTTTCATCCCATCTTGTCAAAATATACATAACCATAGAGGGACTAGTTAATTGGGAGATGCTAGGGGTACACCAAAGGTGTATCCCAAATGTACATCACCTCTCTCTTTACCATTCATTTTATTTTGTTTTTTTATTTTTTTTTTGAATTTTACTTGCCTTTTTTATGTGGTTATGGAGGGAGTGAGGAATGTTTGGGGTACACTTTTGTTGTATCCCTATCATTTTCCTTTTTGTTATGCAAGAATCTAAACGGCAGCACTTTTGACAATAAGATCAGCATCTTCTTCAAGCATTAGGCCATTCCACTTTCTATCACTTTCTTCTTACCCCATCTTTATTGAAAACTCCATATTATTAAGTCACACGCCTTTTCATTTAATGTTTTTTGTTAAAGTTTCTGAATATTGATGTCGATATGCAGAAAAAATACTATATTTCGAAATAAATGTAATATCAATAGTTCTCTTTTGAAATGTAATTTTGAAATATTAAAATTTTATAAAATATATTCCCCTCGTCGCTAAATGTTTAATGCATTTCAAAAACCGGAGCAAAATATCATATATTTTTCAATTCATTTTATTTAAATATTGATATAGAAATAAAAAATAAAATTTACATGCTTAGAAACTACATGAAAAATTCTTCGAAATAAGAAGTGTCAAAAATATTTATTTTATCAAATAATCAAGAAAAACGTATAAATAAATAAAAGTTTCCGTGATGGTTGAAAAAGGAAATATGGCAAAGATTTTGGGATGGAGGGAATATCTATGTATAAATATCGATAAATGATAAAAAATATTATATTAGAAGCCGTAAAAAGTTAAATAAGAAAATCAAATCCAGACAGAAAGATTATGAAGAACCTGGTGGTAAGTTTTTATTTCAAATTGATCAATATGGAGTAAGATCGCAATATATATCGTACAACTGATTGTACAATATTTCTCATATATCCGCGATGAATATTCATTTACGAGTAACTAAATATTCATTTTCGAGTAACTAAATACTCATTTCCGAGTAGTAACCGAATACTTTTTTCTTCTAAAAATCAGTTATACTCGAAAATAAGTACTTCCTCCGTTCTCAAAAAGAGTTCCTACTTTGAAAAAGTGGAAAAATAAGGAAGTGTTAAATTATACGGAGTAGTTGACTTCCAATTTTGCCCTTGATGTGATGAGTAAAAATAAGATATGATGAGTAGATTATTAGAAAAAAAGTATGATGTGATAGGTAGGGTATGAAAAAGTAAGGGTAAAAGTGGTTTTTTAATAAAAAGTGGAAGTGTTTTGTTGAAAGTGAAAGAAATGAAAAAGGAAGTGTTTTTGAGAACGGATGAAGTATTTAGTTACTTGAAAATGAATATTCTTTTACTTGAAAGTGAATATTAAATTACTCGAATATGAGTATTCAAGCAAATATACATACGCGAAACATTGTACTTCTAGAGGTTGATATAGGTGCTCGAGTAATATCACTTTTTCCTTTTCCTTATTGATATACCACTTTGTAAAAAAAATAATTTAAAAAAGTGAGTCTAAAAAAAGTGAGTCTCAGTTTGTAATCAAATTGAAACAGAGAAAGTATTACTACCTCCGTCCCAGAGTATTTGTCCACTTTCATTTTTACACACCATCCAATACATTTCTTTAATCCATTTTATCTTGTAATTTGTATATTAAAAAATTACAGAAATTATATATTAATAATCTATATGTTAAGACAAATCAAACAAGATCACACATGACTATATTTAGGCTTACACATTGAGAGAATTTGATGAGTCAAAGTGCTTAGATGAACAGTTCCAAAAGTCAAAAGTGGACGAATATAGCGGGACGGAAGGAGTAATACGGAGTAAAACAAACGTTTTTTTAACACATCAGAAAGAGATAATGTGATCTGGCTTCAACAAAAGTGTCCCCTCACCCACAGGGCACTGTCACCCCCTTTGAAAAGTCCAGAAACTCTTCATTCTCTTTCCCCCCTCTCTCTCTCTCTCTCTGCCCCTTTCATTTCAAGAAAATTTTCAGTCACTCTCTGTAATTCCCACACCACTTTTCCCCTCTCTTGGGTTGATGATCATATAGCTACCCAGTTCTTCTTTCTTCTTCTTCTTCCTCCTCTGCATATTTTCTTGAAGATTCTTGTGGAAGACAAAGAGAGAGATCAAGAAATGGAGATTGTGAATCTCTCTTTCTTGATGATGATGATGATGGGATTAATGGTGGGGGCAAAAAATGACACAACCTGGGCTGGATCAAAGTACCAAATTGAATGCTTAATGTGTGCAGCTTGTGACAACCCATGTGACACCCCATCTCCACCACCACCGCCGCCGCCGCCGCCGCCATCTCCGCCGCCATATTTGCCACCACCAACCACCACCACCAACTGCCCACCACCATCTCCTCCCTCACCCAGCTACCACTACCCACAACCACCACC